CTGGACTTATTTAATAAGTTAAATATGGGCGAATTCTGAGATGGATTAGCAGATAGGATAGGGTTAAGACCCTATCCACTCAGAGAGTCCAGATTCATATTCAGATCTAGAAACCTCCTAATGAGATTAGGAGAAGGCTGATCTAATCTATAGATAAGATAAGGGTTTATCCTTATCACCTAAAGAGAAGATTGATTCAAATATGACTTGGATAAGCAGCTCCTAATTGGATTAGGAGCTGATCCTTTGGGTTTACAAAAGAAGGAGGGGGCGGCAGCCTTTAGCAGAATCACATAATCAAATCCTCTTTAGAGCTGAAACTAGAGAAGAAAGATTTCTGCAATCCCTGCAAAGATCTTTCTTGCCGCCTCCTTCCTACAGCCGCCAGACATCCAGTTCGATCTCCAGTTGTGGGAGAAGTCAAGATTCAATCTTGACATCAGTTATTTGAGAAAGAATTGATAGGAAGCTGTGCTCACGTGCCATCCTGTTGTTTCTTGCGAAGGACATAATTCTTGGAGAAGAATACTACTGATTCTACTCCATCCTGCACTGCGCCATCTTCAGTGGGAGCAGTCTTTGGATCCTTCCTTGGGCGTGAACACCTTCGTTGGGGGATACTATTTCTTCGTATCAGGTATAATCCTCTCTTACTCCTTTTAGTTCAGATCTGGTTCAGTTTATGGTTCAAGAATGATCCTTGAAAATATGATTTTCTAAATGGGGAATGCGATTCCCAGTTGAAGGGAGAGAAATTTTTTGAAATTCGCCCACCTTATTCCACAAGATTTGGGCGTCCATACGATGGATCTCTCATCCCTTCAAATCCGGACTCAGTAAATGAGGATTTCTAAGGATATTAGGTTCCCTTGACTTGAGTACCCATCTTGTGGAACCGCTAGGGGTGCAATTTGGGCGGGCCTAGCTTGAGCCCGAACCAGCTTAACCCGGAATTTTACACGGGCTAGGCTTACATTTTCGGTCCTCAGGCTACGCTTGGGCCCAAGAAACCATGTTTTTTATTTTTCGGGCCTAGTCCTTAGGTAGCCCGAGCCCGGTCAATTATATACATTTATACATATATTTTTCCGATACCATATATATATAACATCTAGGGTTCGACTATGATATGAAAAAGATATGGTATCGGAAAAATAAATGACAAATAAACCAGAGTCATAAATGTGGTAGAGAACATGGTGTTATTTATCAAAAATCATGGGTGGGTTTTGATTGGTCAAAACTCTTTCCATATCATATCTTTTCCGTATTATAGATTTTCCCATAACATTTGTATAGATATTTTGCATACATAAATATATGTATATGTATTTGCATAAATGCATTTATATATGTATAATTTTAGAGTGGGTTCATTGACTAACCGGAACCCAGCTCGGGCCCGAGCCCAACCCGAGTACATCAAATTACAGGGCGGGTTGGGCTCAGGTTGGAAAAATCCGGCTTGACCTCTGGATCGGGCCACGCTCGGGCCTTAAGCCCAAATTTTAGGGTCGGGCCTGGGTTGACCATAAACCCAGCCCAACCCACTCGACTTGCACCCCTAGGAACCGCATCCATAATCACTCTTGCCCTCTCACCCCTCTCTTTACCAAGATGGGCTTCAGTTAGTGCAAGACCCATTTGAACAACTCTTACAGCCTTGCATTGGGAATACCTTTGAAATTTTGTACTTTATTTTATTTTATGGGAGATATTCTCGATGCAAGGCTATAAAGGCTGTTTGAACATGCCTTACACTGACTGAATCCGGTTTTCGGTAAGTTATTTACCCGGGTAAATGCAACTACCTGTGTAAGTTTTTCCTGGGAAACGCTTATCCGGGTAAGTGCATTTACCTATTTTCTTTTATTTCTCATGTAATAAGGATAAGGTAATGATCATTTTAGTCATAAAAATCCATTATTAAAAGGAGTATTATTATATCCCATTCAAGTGTTAGCAACTTTTCTCCCAAGTGGGAAAATTATTTACCCACCTAGGAGATGGGTATCACTTACCTGGGTACTCGTGATACCTAGGAAAATAAACTTTCCCTGGTCCCCACATTAATATGAAAAGTGAACATGGGATTCTTAGTAGGGGTGATCATTTCAGCCCGATCCGGAAATTCCGGGCTTGGGCTTGGGTTTTGTGTTCAAGCCTGGCTTGGGCTTGGGCTTGGGCCTGGGTTTTGTATTTAGGCCCGGCCCTGGCTCGACCTGTATATATTTAAACTTACACATTTTGTGTATAATGTATCGATATGTATACATGTTATTTTATATTATATTATATGTTTTATATATAAATATTATAATATGACATGTATAATTTATATTATATAATGTATAAAATAAGTTTATATGCATGTTATGTCATTTAATATGTAGATATGTAATATTTTGCATATGAGTGACATTGACCCGGAATCAGACCCGGCCCGGGCCTAAGCTATAGCCCTTATCATAAGTGCAAAGCCTGGCCCATGATCACCCCTAATTCTTGGTCAATGGAAACCAAAACTTCATTGACCAACATTCCCCCTCTCAAAATCCAAAAAAAGAACGCTCACTAAGTGTACAAAAACATTGAAAGTTTGTTTGCCAAGATAAACGCATTTCCCTATGAACATATATACTTAAATTGAATCAGATCGGATTAGATTATATGAGATTAGATAGGGGTGGGTCCATATTCGATACAAATCGAATTCAAAGCAGCCTTAATAGGATTGAACTCAGATTTGAATTCTGATAATCGGGTACCATTTGCAGCCCTATTCTCCAACATTAAAAATATGATTTTTTTTTTCTGAAAATAAAGAAGAGAGTTCACCAATTATATATCATATAGTTTTATTTTCGAGCATTCTATTTCCATGGATAGCATTTTCTCAGTTTTGAATTTTGTTAAGACCAAGTGACCAACTAACAAGATAGAAGGTACTTTACCTCGTACGATTCTCCTTCGTTCTCTTGGTTTAGTTTGGGAACGTCTATTTGCGGTGTACAGTTTATATTTCTACTCTCTCAAAAATTTGCATATTACATTTTTAAATTTTGTATTTGCACTATATAATTACATTTAGAATGTAAATTATGGGTTTGGGAGATAAGGCCTCCCCCCTCCCCCCATCTCGAAGTGTTTTTAACATAACCCAAAAACAAAGTTTGGACACAAGGTGCCATGCAACAATTGTATTTTCTCTTTTATTACACATAAGCACAAGGCAAACATAAACACAACAATACAATGGAAACTTTAAAATGATGCTCCATTTCAAAGTGATTTTCACATAACTTGAGAAGAAGAACAAAATGCTTATACCTGACCAGCCAATCAAGCAAGATTCAAACATAATTGCCTATATGATACTGATATGCCACTGAAATTGAATCATACAATAAATACCAAGATATCAAACACCCAAGTTAACGATCCAAGGTGCCAATCAGCTGGTTGATAAGGTCTCCTAATGATTTTGGCAAAGACTTGGGATCGAATCCCGTCTACACCTAAGATGGGGGATTATAGTCTTATGGACAAATAAACATGTTCATGCATCGAGGTCGAGTCAGGCTTCCTACTTATAATAGAAAATATCCAATCTCAACCCCAACCCCTATCCTAATATAATAAAGCCCAAAGCCAGATGTACATAATAATACATAATTTTTATTATTAATTACATTATAGGCTTGGGTCAGACTTATTTAAAAACTCTAAGCCCAACTCGAAAAATAATTGAGTATAATACTTGCAATATTACAAGTCCTGAATATGTGTAAGGCATGTTCATTTTTTACTTACCTAAAAAGTATGTTTATTCAAACAATTGTACTTGTGCAGTACAAGTTACCCCAAGTAGAGAGAGAATTGTCGGTGCACGAATAGGTTGCTTACTCACCTTGCATTATTCGGGACTCCGGGTAACTATTACTGTCCAGTGTCTTTGGTTACCATTGGACCAAACATAATGACAAATACACACAGGGATCATAGTCAACTTACCAACTGACCAATTTATCTCCCACTAAATACCGACAAACAAAAAAGGGCCTAAGTACGGGTAATTCTCTATCGTAAATGACTAAATGAAAGTTGGGGACATAAGTATCACTGTTTTTAAAATTGGACTAGATCAGAAAATTTGGAAATTGGTCACCTGATTAATTTCGTTTCACTCTAAAACCGTTTTTTGGCTAATAACTATTGATTTTGTCAATGAACTGCTGACCCGGGCAATCAAACTATCAACATGAATAATAGTTTTTGTTTTTTTTTTTACTTTTTTAAAATATTTTTCTTGTCAAAGTGGACTGTCTATTTGGTCCAAAAAGTTGGACCATTCGACCTAGAAACTGGATCCAAAATGATTCCTTGTCCGGTCCTATTTTAAAAACCTTGATACAATTGTTCATTATCAGTAAATCTGAACTCTCTCCGAGGTTCAATTACATCCTTTTAAGGGCTGTCAATGGATCGGTTTTGGGTCAAAACCAGGTAGAACCGGTCCCAGAACCAACATAGACCCTATAGGGTATGTAATTCTAGACCCAGAACCAAATCGATCGATTCTTGAGACAATTGGGTCCAACCCGATTTTGATATATATGCTAATAATACCCTTGCTAAAAATGCAATAAAAACCCTGTAAAAACCTAAAATGCAATGAAAGCCCTGCTAAAAACAATAAAAAAACCTGCTAAAAAGGAAACTAATAAAAAGAATAATAACTGTATTGATGTATATAATATATATTTAATAGTATATATAGGGGTTGGGTTGGGTTAAAATCTATTCGAGACAATGTGGACCTGGTTCCAACCCGATAATAGTTGGAAATTTTTAAGAACCAGAACCGACCCATCGGGACAAATTCTGGAACCAGAACCGCCTCAATCGGTCTGATTCCATCGGGTCTAACAGGTCTGACCCAACCCATTGACAGCCCTATTCCCTTTTGCCTCACATGGGCGCTTATGAATGGCTTCAGCCCACTGGGTATACACATACATGGCCCGTTTGGAAAGGCTGAACTGAAGATTTGGCAAGCTAGTTGAACGGCATAAGTAATTCAAAGATTACTGACCGACGCCTGACGGCGGATTTGGGCTCTTGGAAACTTTCACCAAACATAACTTACAGGTTGCTTGGCCCATCCTAGAAAGCCAAACGCCCAAACGCCATTACACTTCAGCCCTTCCAAACGGGCACACAATGATTCTCACGATGTGCGGCTGCAGTGTCATGTGGGAGGGAGGCAGATCCAAACTTTATTACGTTTGAATTCTCCAGAATCTGACAATAAGGGCAATCATGAAATGCCTGGTGCGTGCAGGTGGTTCATTGGCTATTATTACTAGAATACAGAATTCGGATTTTGTCCGAACACAAAATCCATCGTCACACCATTTCCGTAACGAGTCCGGATCTCATGCCTACGAGAACTCTGTTCACGTTGTCACACATGAAAAATATTTCATCTTCTGTATAGTATTATGTAGGGGGAGATGTTCCCAACTCAAGAAAGATAATATATTGTGGATAGGTATGGGCAGAGTTATTGTGGGCAGGAGCGAAAATTTATATTTATACTATCTATAAAGGAGTGAACACCCCTTTTTTTTGAAATTTTTATTGGACATTTTCTATCCCCTCATCTAAATATATAATAGACATAAATAGGACATATATGTCATTTACTCTCATTTTAGAAACTGTCTATTTATAACTGTTGAGAAATTGTCCATGAATTATAAATAATTTTGTCTTAGAGAAACTGCCACATAAAAATGTATATATATATTTACTAGTTAAGTGTAGTAGGTCTAAGTATTATTATATGTATCCCGTGCTGAAGCTTATCTTTTTGTTGTGTGCTGATGTGTCATGTTAGTATGGTGAACATTTTTTAGATATCTTTTTTGAACAAAAAAAGAAATCCAAATTCAATCGAGGTGGTTAGAAATTATTTAGAACATTAAATGCCCTTCCAAAATTAAAACTAATTTCTCATAAACAAGCTCCTTACATAAAAACTAGCTTAGTGAAAGAGGCTTTGACATTGATAGCTCATGTAACTTTTATGGTGGGGAAGATACATTCACATCTTTTAAAAACTGCTCCCACACTATTCAAATTTGAACAATCAGTAATGCGCCTCTCGAGGATCCAAATGACAATGACCAAAACTTGACTGGTGGACTAGGATAGGTAAAAATAAAGAAAGCAAAAAACTTTTGGTGAGAGAAAAATTGGCTTTCATTTTATGGGCTCTATGGAAGAATATAAATCAGAAGTCCCCCCCCCNAAAAAATGCAAAGGGCATTTATGAGGGGGCCAAAAACGTTTGGTGGATTGGGGGGAGGGGGAAGAATAATTAAGGGGTGCCAACCCATTGTTGGTGGGGAGTGGGCAAGGGGAAATTTATATGGAGTAGTGGGGATTTTTGGGCCATAGGGGGGAGGGTGGGTGCCCCCTGGCTCCACCCCTGGTAGTAAGGCTCAGTTTGAAAGGAATACAAATGCAAATTTGTAAAGTGTAAAACTTTGTATTTTGTATTATTTTGTATGTATTTGCAATCTACAAATTTGCTTTTATATTCTTTTCAAACTGAGCCTAAAGAACTGGAAACCTCCAATCCCTGGTACTATTAAAATAAACTTTGATGCTTTTTGCATTAATTATGGGCAGTGCACTATTGCGTGTATTGCTCCTAATCACTTAGGCTCAATTTGGAAGGAGTACAAATACAAATTTATAGAGTGCAAAATCTTATATTTTGTATTATTTTATATATATTTGCACTGTACATATTTGTACTTGTACTCCTTCCAAACTGAGCCTTAGGTCGTGTTTTGGATGTTAAAGCTTACGAACTCAATTTCTATACTATTAATCAAGCAGATGCTTGGGCTGCCTGGGAAGGTGGAGCCCCCTTCGAAGCTAAGCACTATTGAAGAACTCAATCTATCAAGCACAAACTCAATCTATCAGTGACTGTTCATCTTTCACTCTTTATCCGCATTTTGAAAGAACTCTATACTACTATGGTAATCTGGTTGGAGCAAAAGTATTAAAGTTTCCCTTGTTCTATCACGCATTTTTGCTAGGCTCAGTTTGGAAGGAGTACAAATATACAAATATGTAAAGTATAAAACTGAGACTTAAGAAAATCAGTCTCACGGTAAATTATCAAATCCTCGAGGGAAAATGCTCTTATAAATTAAAACCCATCATAGTTCTTTAGTATTTCCATATGGCTCATTTATCGACTACAAATGATGAAATTCTCTCAACCCTCACATACTGAATTCAGGAAATGGGAAGAAAAGAGAAAGAGACGGAACCTTCCAACATATCCACTCTGTTATTGCAGAATTGCTTTTATTTGCATGATAGAGATCCCACTACTATTTTGATAGGTAAACTTGGGGGTGGGGAGATGGAAAAAGATGAAGACGGTATTCAATCCCATCCCAGGTCGGTGGGAACTGGGAGCTGCATCCACCAACTAGCCAGTAAGGCTTTCTAAATATTTATGGAAGAGTAGAATCAGAGGTACTGGCTTGCAAGCTTTCCCTCATTGACAATGTAATTTTGTGGGGGAAAGGCTTCTCCCATGAAGTACCTGTCCAGCATGTCCTTCACTCCAGCTGCGTACCGTAGCTGTACCATTTTCCATTTACTTTAAATCAGAACAATGCAATGAAACAGGGGAAAAATAAAACTCCCCAATAGATAAGCAAATGGGAAAGATTCCAGAGTAGATACCTGAGCATCAATGGTGGTACCAGAAATATGAGGTGTCATTGCCTGGTTCGGCATGTATCGCCATGGATGATCTTTGGGTGCTGGTTGTGGATACCACACATCACCACTGTAGCCTAAAATTTAGAAAATTGATTCAGACTGTTAATTACTACAAGAAAACACATGATAACATTTCTTATGTTATTATGACATCCTGGTGCCATTTACTTGATAGCCAGTATAAGAGATATAAGCCCCCCAAAAATAACATCATAAGAGTCCTTAATTCTAGTTTTATCCCTCCCTTCTCCAGACCTGTGGTGAACAGTAACAAAATTAGTGACAACTTCGAATTGGAGAACAGGAGGATATCTTTAAAAAAGGCTTATTATCATTTTTTTTTGCTTGCTTCACCAAGTTTTTTCTTTTTGATAGGCAAGCTTGCTTTACTAAGTCGTTTATGACCATAAGCTTCTTTCCACATTACATGTACAACCAAGAGTTACCTGCTATATGCCCACTGGAGCACCCATCAACAACTGCTTGGGTGTCCATTATTGCCCCTCGAGCATTATTCACAATCAGGACACCTCTTTTCATCTTTGAGATCCTATCCTTGTCAAACATCCCTCTGAAACATAAGATCACAAACCAGAGTAAGTTCAGCCAATAAGCATACCAGAAATATATATGTTGCTTGTGATATTAATGGTTTATACATTACTAAAAAGTAACGAGTGATCACAAACCAAGTAAGTTCTTAAACTCAAACATTGGCTATTCCTGGAACCACAGTATCTAAACCGTTGTTCTTCACATAAACAAGGGACAAGCTCTTTATCATAAAAAATCTAATTGCAATTACAAATTTTCACTAACACAATAGTGCAAAACAGAAGTATGCTTTTAGACATGTAACTGCTTTTCTTCTTGCAGTGAACCATTCAATTAACAAAGATGTCATATTAATAATCTAAAAAGGTGCTGTAGGGGCCATTGCCTGGCATAATGGAAAAATCCCGACTGGCAAGCATGAGAACAAAGGTTTAAGTCAGAGACCAGTCACTTTGTGCAAAAACATGCCTAAGGTTAGGACCATGTCCAGTCTACCCCTCCCAAGACTCCATAGCTGGGACCAACACAGCTCCTCTGAGAAAACTTCATCATTTTGTTCTGCAATGTTTGTCTTCTCACTACTCAGTAGTAGAGGTTCTCTAGTCTTGCCTTCTGCAGCAGTTGGCTCTAGGGGTGCTATCTTGTGGACTATGGTTCCAAGTATTATCTGTTGATACATTTAGAAATAGAAGAATCATCATATTTTCAAAGGTGAAGATAAATCTTCCGAGACTTTCTGCAGTTGCCAGTAGTCTGGTCATGGATTAGGATTTGGTTTTTAAAGACTTTAGCTCTTTAAAGAGAATGGTCATTGTGTTTATCTGGTCTGTTGTTTTGGTGTAGATATAGTATACTGCAAATTGTTGAAGACTATATCATAATTTGTTGTATACCTTATACCTTCATTCTTATTTTTAATAATTTTTTTTATTACATAACAAAAAAATGTTACTGCATTTTCTTTTCTTTTACAAAAGGAACATCAGAATCATGCAAACGGCAAAATCCAATAAGCTATTTGCCTATTTCTTCATGTAAATCAAGTCAAGAAGCACACCAAACCAAGGCCACTAGGCAGATTGTGAGCAGAAATGCTCTATGATATCTGCTTATTCTGCTATGCAAGGTTTCAAAAGTCTATCCATTGCCCACAAGTGAATGCAACCAAACACAAAAGAAAACCGGCATATTTGCCGAGGAAAGGACAGGCATAAGATGATGTCCATACCTTGTTTTCTCTGTAAGAGGTGTATTGATAACAATTATGTCACACTTTGGAAGCATTGCATCAAGATCCTCTTCAAACTTGGCCCCAATCTGATTTTCCAACTCTGGATCCATCTTGATTCTGTCATGGTAAAGAAGATTGCAGTTGAAGGGCTTCAAACGTTGGAGCAAAAGCCTGCCAATACGTCCAGCACCAACGGTTCCCACTGTCTTGCCCTCAAGGTCATAAGCTCTATGAGAAATGCCAGCCACATTCCATTCCCCATTAATAACTTGATGATAACCAGGTAAGAAATTCCGCACAAGAATGAGGATTCTCATGAGCTCATCTTCTGCAACTGATACTACATTACTTCCAGTGACCTCAGCAACAGTTAATCCGGCAGCAGCTGCAGCTTTCAAATCAATATGATCAGAGCCAATTCCAGCTGTGAGAAGAAGTTGTAAATTCTTGGCCTTCTTGATCCTTTCTTCCGTAACATAGGCTGGGTGAAAGGGCGTTGTTATTAGGACATGAAGATCAGGAATATGTTTTTCAAGTTCTGCATACAAAAAATACACATCCAAAACAAAACAAATAGTCCAGTTGTTAGTTGAAAAATATATTAATGACCAATAATAAGCAAAAAAAAAAAAAAACATGCAACAAGTAATCACATTTAGATTATCATAGAACAATAGAATTCTACCCCCAACTGAACTGTCTTATAGCAGTAGTTCACATGGATCATGTTCAGAATCCACCATGTGCTTCCTGCTGAACACAAGCAGAGAACTCTGTGGCTAAAATTATCCTGAAAAGGTCCCTAACATTCTAAATACCATGGCCAGATTCAGGAATCTGTAAAAAGCTAAAAGGACTGAGGAAATTTTCAGGTAAAGTAAGCACACTTGAAATCTCAATTAAATCCACCATGTGCCTCCCTGTTGTTTATTGATTTTTTTAACATTCTCTGCTTGCTTCACTTTCGCTAAGGCTCAGTTTGGAAGTACAAATACAAGTATGCACAATGCAAATGCATACACAAAATAATACAAAATACAAGGTTTCGCACTCCACATATTTGTATTTGTACTCTTTCCAAACCGGGCCTAATGTGGTTCCACATAAACCTCCTCTATACTGAAAAAGAAAAAGGAAGAAAAGAAGATAATAGAGATCAAGTAACCAAGCCATTCATCAATAGAAAGCTCAACTAATAATTTAATATCCTAATTTGCGAAAACCTGAACATGAGGCTAGAGATACTAGAAGCTATGAAATACCAATGCTGTCATTAATTACACAAACCAATATAGCATGCCATTAGAAGCTATGAAATGCCAATACAACATGTAGTTAGAATCTAAGGCATTGCTTACAGCTGATAGTTTGGTAACAGGTCAGACATCACCATACTTGCCTGGTTGTGTTAAAACAGAGTATGGGCCAAGCATTGGCTAGACAATGTCACAAGTAGCTAAAGCTATTATAATGTTTGATGTGCCATGAAAAAGATCGTTTATTGTTTGATCACAGCGAAGGTGATATGTGATTGTACTACAGCTTCATTCTACTAAATAAAATTTTCCAAATTCCAATCCGTGGGAACATAAGCCAGATAAGGATGATGCTACTGACCACAATCAGGACCTTCTTTATCATCTGTTACAATGTATTGATGGCCTTGTGATTCCAGCCAATCGCGTATGCCCAAGGATCCCTCCACACAACCTACGAAATTGGGATTCATCGAGGCATACTCATTAGCCTTGTAGAACACCCCAACAATCTTCTTGCTCCCAGGAGAAGCCTGTGTAGCAATAGGAAGTAGAAGAGGATCAAGAAAACACACAAGACAGAATGAATTAGTTTCATGGAAGCCGATGCCTTAGCGGGGAAAAACCTAAGAGCAAAACAGTCAATTCCTTGCCACATCACAAATACAAACACACACATGCATACACAACAAAGATGCTTACTAAAAGAACACATACTAAAAAAAATATACAAAGAGAATTAGCAAGTCTTTCATTTGGCCCAGCTTAGGCTAGAGGTTATTTAATCTTTACTACCAGAGGGAGAATATATGCCTTGGGCATCTCCAACAAGGGAAAATGTGCCAATCATTTGTGCTGATGTACGTATAATAAGGAATTGGTTGTTTATCATCATCTAAGACGACTGATGACTGAACCAAGAGCAAAAGTTGAAACCTTCATAATTGTATTATTAGTATAATGGGGGGTATAAATGCAAATGGTTTAGATAACACGGGGGTGCATAAGAAATACTAAAAATACTAGGAGAGATGTAAAATTACCATATCACATGAAATCCGGGAGGAAGAAGCCCTTCAAAATGCATTAGTTTGAAAGATTGCAAGTGGTACAATGATGTTAAAAAAAAAAAAAAAAAAAAAAGTTGGTTTAAAATCAATGGCTTTTTGTTGAGGATCAGGACCCACCATTAAACGGGTCACACCAAACCAAAAGTCCACCTGATTGAACGATTGCAATTGACAAATTTGATGTGATGATTTGGACGGTGGGAAGAAACCCTATTACATTTCTAGAACTGCAATATAAATCACATGGTTAAAAATAGTTCAGTCAGTCATGCTAGTTTTCTGAACATTGAATCTCTTATGTGGGACCAATTATGTGATGATGATCCTGTTCCTCTTCTATATATACGGGAGGAGCTAAATAGTCACGCATTTTAGTTCCTCTTCTAAATCCTACCATTTGATGCTCTAACCAGTTCATTGGACAGTCCGGATTTCTTCTTTATTAAGCCCTAGGCCAGGAGAACTCATATAGTCATATATCACAGGTCCTCAAGGTTTCTTCTTCTTCTTCTTCAGTTGAGTTCGTATTTTAGTTGTTACCTGGCCAAATCAGTAACAACGATTTAATTACCTGCGTTTACCTACTGGGAGTCCCGTCCCGGACACCGAGAGCGTTTTCCGGCTTTTGTTTTGGGGGGGTGGGGTTATGTTTGGACGGGATGAATATGGACAGAAATAAGAATATATCGCTTCGACTGGATTACATGGCGTTAACGTTAAGCAACACAAGGGCGCTCAGAGAAACAGAGGGCCACTTGCAGCGGCTGGCCATCAGTAGGCATTACTAAGATACATTCAATTTGCTGATTGTTGAGTTGTACTATATGTAATCAGAAACCCAGACCTTTAATTTCAAACCTACAGCTTTCCTAAGAGATCGCCTCGTGGTGGACTTTCAGCAGTTGATCCGTCCGCCGGAGTGAGTGAGATTTCATAATCGGATTATTAGCACTTAATAAACTCAGAAATTAAAAATTAATAAAATATGAAAAACATATTTTAATAGACAAATATACGAGGAACATTATAAAAATCTGGTCTTTTGGGTTAATGTGCCGATCGGCTGTAAGGAATTGGCATCGATGCGAAACATCATCTGGATGTTTCCACTTGGTAGGCATGCGATGAGGAAGAGATAGAAAGACAAAAAGAGCTGAGAGTTAAAAATGGATGCTTGAATGGTGAAAACGGGACTCAAAGTAACAATAAGGAGAACAAAATCAAGGAACAGTGAAGTACATACATGGAGGTATCTGTGAAGAGGCGATGTGGCCGAAAACCGAGAAGCAGAGACGGTTCGAAGCGCGGAAGCAGCAGCCCTCCTCATCGCCATTTCTCTCTGCTTTTGCTTTTAAAAACGTCTCACTCAGAAAACACGGTTGCAGCTGTGGTATGTAATGGCCATATATGATCCCATTTCTTCTCTCTATAATTTATAGCATTTGTAGTATAGCACAGGCACAGGCGGGGTTTAGGACATTGGATACATTCAAAAAGAAACTAATAAGAAAAAAATTGTGAATAATTCTTCTATCTGTTGTCTTCTTCTACGTATTTATTCTATTATCTTTAATCCATCCAATCACCATTAATATCTTGTATTTTATTAATACGCGAAATTAGGGGTAATTTAACTAATTATTCACCAGTTCCCATGAGTCCATGACCAACGTGTAACTAAACTAAAGCCTTACACGTAAATACTTGGATGTAAATTGTGCTCACAGCATTTTGTCCAACGCTGCAAATCGTCGCGTATGATTGGTGCGTGGAGTCAACACCTGACCTCATTTGATTGACTTGTGTTGTTAGATTCGATCAGAGCGGCAGCGGCGGCCATATCCGTGGAGGAGGAGAGTTATAATACAATTTCTTCTCCACTTTTCTTTTTTGTTTTATTCGGACAGGACGTGTCACTGACTTTGACAATCTTATCTTATCTACCAGAAGAAAAAATAAAGGAAAATACAAAAGAAAAAAAAAAGTGGACAAGACGTATCACTGTAGGATATGGCTTCCCAAATATCTGAAAGGTGACCCTGAGGAGACTCGACAGTCGACGTTTTTGGTTGCCCCGACACGGTTTTAACGTGATACATCGTCGAACTTGCTCAGTAGGGAGCTTGATTGGATCTGATGGTTAGCAATAGCACACTTGGCAACAATACAGAGATAAAAACTAAAACGTGCAGAAACGGAAATTTGGAACACTTGTGAAATGCTCCGACGCGAAATTCTAACACCCGGTCGATGAGCAAGGGGCGTTTTGTAATGTGTATGAAAAATTAGTGGGTATCACGGTCCACAGCAGTTTTGACCGTGAATACTTACATTGGCATATTCTGTAATATGGATGGTTTGGACTAGTTAATATCATAATTTTTTGATTCTATGTATCTTATATATAATGATATATATATATTTAATCATAAATATATAATTTTTGTATTTTATATGATAATATTTTAAAAAAATGTATCAATGAATTAATATTAAGTTATTAACCAATAAATCATGATTTTCAAAATCGGACCAGACCGGATAGTTGGACGAGAAAAACCAGGAACCAGGTGATCGGTTCTGTTTTTCTCCAAAATCAAAAAATTGCAAAAAAAAAAAATGTTGATTTGGTCAACAAACCACTGACCCGAATGGTTGAACCATTTGAACTGTTCAACGGTTTTGACCATTTTTTTATTTCTTATTTTTGTCAAAACAGACCGACCATTCGACCCAGGAACTGGACCCCTAACCGGTTCATTCTCTGGGTCGGTCTTAAAAACCTTGCAATAAATATTATTTTTTTTATAAAAAATAGTAAAATAATTAAAAAATAAAAAATATATTTTTAATATTTAAAAATATTATTTTATTGATAAAACCATTACAAAGTTATAAAAATTAAGTAAAATAATTCATATTTTAGATCATACAACCGAAATGCAACTACAGGAATTTCATAGATAAAACTGAAGGTGTATCTCTGTGTATATGTAGTCTATCTTAGACCACACAACCTTTTTGACCCCTGCTCCTTGAAGCATGGGATAAAAAATAAACGATGGATGGAGCGTATCCACGAGTTTTTTCCATTAACGATATATTGGGATGTAGACGGGACCTATCCATGCTATATTGGTGTGGACCAGTCCCATCCGCACCCAGCCAAATCCCGTGGTCCACAAGATATTCACGGTGCTGAACATCGCCTAAAAAGTTGCTATAGTACAACCTCATTTTACCCGATTCAAATATGCTATTAGCTATGCATTAAACTGTGAATGCCTTTGGCTTGTGTAGCCATAAAAAAAAAGCCGTGAATGCCCTACTCTTGATGAATCAACCTACATTTGAAATAATTAAGTATATGTTTGGTTTCGTTTACGTTTATTGAGTAAACGCTTATTGAGAGTAACACATAGGTGCCCCATCAACAAATGTCTCATTAATTGCATTTGTGTATAGGGTTGTTCATAAGAAGACCCAATTCGACCAAATTGATGGTTCAGGTTATGAAAACCGAAACCGACCTGAACCGAACAGACATATTTGTTAGTAGTTAGTTCCTAGTTAGTATTTACAACCTAATTAGTTCCTAATTAACTAAGTTGTCTCCATCCTAGTTACAACCTAACTTAATTTCTAGTCTTCTAGTTAGGAATGACACTAATGGCAAGTATTGTAAGACAACTAGACAATGAATTTTTTTGTAAAAGTTTAAAGAAAATAATCAAATGATCCTAGTTTTTATGGTCTTTTACACCAAATAGGCAACCAATTACAATTAGAATTAGGTGTCCTTTTTTACTTAGATTATAAGGTTTATTGAAATATACAAATTTCAGTATTCTTTCTCTAATACAGTTTGACTTTCTATTTTCTTGATAACTTATATTCTAACTTGGTTCGCCCTCTACCAATTTCAGTCTTCTTTCTCTAGTAGAATTATGTGTCAATTTTTACATCAAATTTCAGTCTTTTTTCTCTAATCTACCAATTTTATTACCATGGTTGAACTTAGAGCCGAAACCGACCCAACCTGACTCAAACCGACCAGGTTGGTTTTGCTTAACACAGGGTCGGTTTCGGTTTCAATTTCAGGTAACCTGACCAGGTTGGGTCGGTTGAAAAAATCTCAGTAAATCGACCCAACCCGACCTGTGAACAACCCTATTTGTGTGTATCGAAGTTTTCAAAAGTAAACTTCGATTTCTGTGCGCCTCTCCTGTTTCAACAAGCTTCATTTTGGAGCTTCCTAAAACGGTTAGGCATTTATTGGCATTTTGTTGATGTGGTGCCTAATGGCGCCTATGTGTCATAAACACCCTCATTAAATGTGTTTCTCGATTTTTGCAGTCATACAAGTACAAAACGTTTACTAAATAAACATAAACGGAACCAAACACCCTATAAATCAAAGCCCTTGATTTATTGCCATCGGCCCATCTTAAATTAAAGGGAAAATTCCTGATCATTACCTTGAATTTTGGAGGTTGTCTAGTTATAGTCTCCCAACTCTTAAATGTGTCTATTTTGAAAGTTTGGGTACTGAATTGTCACATTTTAAAGTTTGGGGACCAAATTGTCACTCGAACTAAAGTACATGGTACTAATCAGGAATTTTCCCTTAAAACTATTGACCCTACCAATTGAACTGAAAAAGTGGTGAACCAATTTTAGAAAACAAGCTTTTTTTTTTTTTTGAATTTTTTGGGTACATAAATGCAAATTTCTAAGGTCATAACTTTGCACTCAGATGTCCAATTGGGGTGATCTTTTTCTTTTCTTATTTTGGGTAACTTTTCGAGATAGGCGCTTTACCCCACTATTTTTTTTTTTTTGCTAAAAAGATGTCCTTTTTAGCCTTAAATCTTAATTCTTAATATAAAAGTGAAAACTAAAAAATATATGTCATAAAAGAATATAATTATATATTTTGAATAGTATAATCTAATATATATACACACATTTGCGCATGATTGAAGCTCTAAAATGTGAACCTCTCTCTTTTCTAGGTTGTTGCCTTGTCCAATTCTCTAAATATTGATATTTATTATTATATATTTTAATAATAAATTTTATCTTTCATTGACAATCTTCCATTAAAAAGAGAGTTTAATTAAGAATTAAAATACATATTAATATACCAAACACTTAGGGTATGGCATAATCCTTTTTATCCCCTATTTATTTTTGATTTTTAATAGACAAATTTAATGGTATGTCAAATTCAAATTCAAATTTGAATTTGAATATTATCTTAGATATGATATTTAATTTGCCTTTAATGATATGTTATTAAAAGTGATATTAAAGTTGCCAAAATTAAATAAGAGAGAGAAGAATATTAGATTCAATACATGCAGCATATAGGGAGTGCTTTATTAGATGACCCTTGAAAAAAAACGATATGATGGATTGACGGACAATTATATGTAGAAATCAAGAGATACTGAACATGTTCAAGTCTTGACTAATAAAAATTTTAAATGTCAATAATAAGAGTCCGTTTTAGTTTGTGGAAATCACAGCTTTTAATAGGACAAGCGAGAAACTTCATTGGGTGGCCGTTTAAAGAGGGGTTTATTTTAAACCTATAAAATAAAAGAGGGAATATATTCATTATTATTATTATTATTATTTTTTGTATTTAATATATCAATAAGATAAAAAACTGATGCTTATTACCAATATTCTTTTAGCAAAAAAAGACAAGCAAAGAATTGAGTGAAGATTCAAAACAGCTCAGACTGTTTTTTTTTTTTTTTTTTCTCAAACAGCCAAGTTTTTCCAATGTAAGACGAATTTGGGACTTGGAACAACCATATCGATACGTATCAAAGAAGTCATTTTTTATCTATTTTACTTATTACTTGGTGTAACATGTGAGACCCACTTCTAAAAATAAAACAGACAACAACAACAAAAAAAGAAAAGAAAAGGTTTTTTATTATCTTGAAAACATACCACCTACATTGGGAAAGACCTCTTAGTAGATTTATTCTTATTGTCAAAGTGGGCTTCTTGGTGAAGTCTGGATCCTCTAATTTTCCTTTTTAAGACCACCTTGGCATATCCAATAAGCCAAACCTGCCTATTTACAGAGCGGTTTGAAAAATAGGTTGAATCACTTATTGGGTCGATTCAAATGAGTTGGGTTATGATTATCTAGGGGATTAATAGCTAAAAGATCCAAGTGTAATTTGCCTCATCAATTCCTGTTGGCCTTTCATTTAAATTCAAATGATGCTTTTTTTTTTTTTTAATTTACCTTATAGTTTGCATATTATTAAGAAACCCTTATAGCCATAACCACCAACCCCTAGTGGCAACGGGTTTATACTTTCTACTCAAACGAGCCAATGACCGTACCAATTGAGCCACTTATCGGTTGGTAATTCTAAGGTTTGTAAAATTGACTCGGAAAATAAATCGGTCAGGGGTCTGGTTTCCGGGTCAAATAGTCTAACCATTCAAATTGAATGGTCAGCCCATTCTGACAAGAAAATAAAAAAAATAAAAAATGGTCAAAACCATTTGAATGATTAACTGTTCGGGTCAGCGGTTTATTGACCAAAATCAACAGTTTTTGGAAAAATTCTGATTTTGGTCCGACTGTCCGGTCCAGTCCAATTTTGAAAACCATGGGTAATTCAAATAACTGGTTAACTCATAATTAGCATAATTAATTCTCAATTTATAATTAATGCATAAAAGGGTTTGACTCTAACATTGGAAAGACATTATACTGAAAAAACTTACAACTAACCAACCAACCAACTAGTACCATAGATTTTTTCTACATAAAATTCTGGTTAATAACTGGAAATAATTATTAACTGAAACTATTTATGCTAGCATAAACTCAACTTAAAATCCATTGCTGTAATAAATTCTAGGTAGAGTTTGGCACAAATATGGCTCATGACCTGAATTAGCTGGAATCTGAACACAATCAAATGGTTAGAATGGTTTAAACAATAAACTTAACATTGATAGAATCAACCAGTCTGATCTGATTTTTATATCTCTAACTGGCCGGTTCAACCATGGTCCGTTCAAATGAAATAACTATAATTATTGATTTTCGTTAATCACTAACACAAATGATTAACTCTATTTAAATTCTTCATGTAAAAACAAAACTATGTGCACGTGATGTGATTCGGACCTAACGTACTTATGTGAAAACCAAGCATTTTTACCATTAAATCATGTCTAACCAAATAAGTGTGTTTGGTCCCCAAACCATCAATCTAGGCTGACTTCAAATTGCACGTGAGGAGCATTTTATGGTCAAGTTGCACTGTTGCAACCTGCAAGGTTTGATTGATTAGACATGCCAGAGGAATGGCCGAGAAGGTAGATTCCTTTGTGCCTCTACGTAAGCTACCAATAGGTCCAATACCATTAAAGAGTTGGCATATAAATCCCTTGATCCTTGCTACGACTATGAGACTCACATTGCTCAGATTCGGCTGACTTGCAATTGGTTCATAGATCGATTATTATCCTCTTTGGATTGGGTACGTAGGGTATTTGGTTCGCTTCTTAATCTTAAAAGTTCCGCCCGATTTGCATTACCAGTGGGTTACTCATACAGTGATACCAGAGTATCAGAGTCTGTTAAAGACATTCATTCTACTGATTAGTGATTTAAACAACGTAAAGATCTCAACAATAATACAAAGATTGTTCATATCACATCTATCAATCTATCACAAGATGGGTGGAGTGGAGCATGGACACCGTTCAGGAGGGGCTGAAAGGCAGCGGCTTTTGGGGAGATGGCCCAACACAAACAACATATAAGCTGTTTGTTGATTTTTTAAGGGTTTTGTTCACTTTTCGGTTATTTACTTGAGAAACACTTACCCAGATAAGTGTGTTTATTTATTTTCTTTTATTTTCCATGTAAATAAGACAATGATTATTTTAGTCAAAAAATTCATTATTAAAAAGGGGGGGCACTTTTATCTCATCCAAGTGTTGGCAACTATTTTACAGGTGGAAAAGTTATTTATCCACTTGGGAGAAGGGAAGTAAGTGATACCTAGGAAAATAAATTTTCTCTGGTTCCCACATAAATCTGAAAAAAGAACAATGGATTCTTGGTTACAATCCCATTGACCAGCTTTCTCCCCTCTCAAAATCCTAAAAAAAACACCCCCTAGAATGTTTGATGAAAAATCCAGATAGCACAAATTTGTGGTCAGTCGGTCATTTAGAGGGCTGTATTTTCTATAGCTACTTAGAGCAAGGTTCAAAAAATCGACATGTATCAGTCGATACTAGCCAATACGTATCATATTGGAAACTTCCCGATATGCCCCTATAGAGGGTGTATCGGGGTTTTGACCGGTTCAGAGGGTGGACAAACCTTAAACCAGCCCCTCTGAACCAGATTAAAAAAAAAACTAAAAAAAAACAATCAATATTGCTCGATATGCCTCTACCGGCATATCGAGCCTATTGATATTTTGAACCTTGATTTAGAAGGCTGTTTTTTTTTTTTTTTGATAGTTATTTAGAGGGCTGTTGGGTTCAGCTTCTTTCAATAGCTTATCTCGAGTGCTTCTAAGCGGCAGAACCAGATCAGCTAGGCTTTAGTAAATACCATAACGTGCGTCACAACCACAAGGTCCTCAACCATCCTCACAACTCATGCTGCGTTGATGGCCCTTTGTGTTGAAATCGAATTAGCTCCTCATAAAGTGCATCTCACACCAATCTTACAACACATTGCAGCGGTGCATTAAAAACTTCTTCCCATGAATGACATGCAAGGGATATATTCCCAATATAAGGTTGAAAATACTGTGGTTGGTGTGAGGATCACTTTGTGAAGAGCAAATCCAGTTGCCTTTATGTTTCTCATTGTCAACAAACTAGGCTGGTTAGTCGGTTAACCTGAAATGGGAATTTTAGACTTCATTCCACCTCGGAATTCTGATTTGAACTACTAATACCATGTCCACCCTAAATTAGTCTCAATTCTGAGCTGCTACCCAACTGTGGAGATAAGATACCGAATAGTATAGTAAGAGGAACGGGATCTGTTCCTCACATGCACATCTGTTCCTCATATTTAATAATTTTAAGTATGGGAGATGTTCCCAATGAATGGTAGGATATGCATGTGAAGAGCAGATCCAATCTCACAGTAAGAACCCCACGTGAACCAGGCCTAGGCAATGATTGCAGCATTAGGCCGGTTAGTCAGTGAACCTAAAACAGCCCTAGGCAATGATTGCAAAATTAAGTGGGACAGTAAAGGCTAAGATGCGTGATTGAGTAGTACTGACTTCAAATATCCGGTTCATCAGGGCCCTAATAGCGTCTACGGTCTACCTGAGGACAATCCGAGCTGCCCATCCAATGAAATGCATGCTAATCTCGTTGAAAGTCGAAATTGGATATTGCCTGGAAAATAACATGCCTCAATTACTTAAAGGACCCTCCGATTTTGGCACTAACTCGATCAATATCAATTGTTTTCCTTGTAATTATTAATTTTTAGGGGAAAATGTGTTAAAATACCCTTAGAAATGAAGGCAAAACTGCAATTCATAGACAGGTGTAGTCCATTTCTGCTGATGTGTCATACGTGCCACATCAGCAAATAAATAGAATTGATAAAAAATGGCAATTAATAGCCTTGTTTTTTAAGAAAATGTTTTTGTAATAATTAGCTTTGGGATTCAAGAAAAGAGTTTCTTGAAATACCAAATTTTTGTTTCTTTAATGGAGAGTGATCCTAAATCACCTGGTAACATGGCACATTTAAATTTGAAAAAGCTGACAATTTTTTTTAGATGTCAAACAGTTGTCATTATAAATATATTATAATATTAAATCAAATCATTTCAAACATCCAGCCAGCTTATATCCCGTTTTCTTTGTATTTCTCAAAAAAACAGATGAAACAAATCACTTGTGAATCGGGGCCCACTAGTAAAACAGAACGGTTGTGAAATGCACCGGTCCCAAACGTCTTCTTTACCGCTGTGAAATGAATTGTGGGTTTAGTAGCAGTTGTGACATGGTGTGCAAACGTAGAGGAGAAAGACTAATATGGCGAAATACGTAGAATAGCTTGAACAAAACTTTGATTCCCTTTTTCATGAAAAATTTCCTTTGGTTCTTACAAATCATGTATAGCTACTCTTGTAGAAGAAAAATCTACAACTGTAAACTCATATAACATGCACAACTATGTAATTACACTCTTTACAACAAACGCCCTATAGCTAGAAAGAAGGAAAGGATGAAAAGAAGAAAAAAGAAATGTTCCTTACTTGTTTTTTTTATAGCTGTTGTTGCCTAATTGTTGAAGAAAAGAACCTTCTTCCTCCCTTTCCTTTTCTCACCAGCCTGTGACAAATGCCAGTCTTTGTAACTATACTTTTCAAATGGTCAGGGTAAAGCTAAAGACAGTAACTAGATCCCTAATGATGACAGTAGCTTATCCAATATGATTATGCTCCAGATAGCCGTGAAGGCTGAACACACTGAAATGTACTCCATTACTTGACAGTATTTATAGGTTAATTGATTCAATCTAATAGGAGCAGAAACAGAGTTTTTACCGCAAAAGGGGCAACTTAACTAAAACATTTCAAAGTATATATTTTTCCGCCCCTTCTTACATTGAAACAAAGTCATATGGCAATGTGCAAACAACATGTTGGTTATCTAATGCCTGGTTCCACAAATAGCACAGTAAGTAAACCAACATCTGTTTAATTTACATGGTAAAAATTGCTTATAAAAAATTACATGGTGCAGCTTAAAGATTTCTTACCAATATATGGAAATAGATGCACTTTATCATTGTGAGAATAATGTATATCTGGCTGCAAGGTAGCCTTTATAATTGATAAGACCGGTACCATGGGGAAGCAAGGGACATACCATCTGTAAAATATTATTCTTTTTTTTTTCTTTAAATTCCCTCCCCCATGGTCAACTGAATCCTGGTCATGCTCATCCATGTCAGTTCCTCCCTTATCTCTGCAGCCAAACATGCACTAAATGAAAGTTTACCATTTATCTTTTCTCCCCCTCTTTCAACTCCTCGTTTACATCCAATAAATGTCTATAAGCACATCCGTTCACTCTATGAGGAGTAAATAGAATCAGTAAATCACCTTTTGCTGCATTTCAGCTTTTCTTTTGAAATATGGTCAAATCTAGGACTTATTTGAAGTGACAAGCTGCTGCCCAGAATCAGTGGTGGATTTTGTAAAGGGTTGGAGAGTTGGAGATTTATCTAAGAGGGGAAAATTGGCATGGAATATCACTCCTGCAGCGGTCTTTTGGTGCATCTGGGAGGAGATAAATGCAAGGACATTCAAGAACAAAAAAAGTTCTGCAGACAGTGTTTCAGAAAATAATGGGAAAAATGTTTTCCCATCTTGCTGCAAACAAGTTGTTTAAAGATAAAAATTACAACTCCTTTTTTATATGATAATATTTTTGTAATGCTGCATTTAGGGGTTATAAGGTTGCATGGGCAGCGGTTGTATAATCCCTGTGTACATCAACTTGTTGTACATGTTATTTTAGCTAATTTAATACTGTACCATTTCTCAAGAAATGTAAGATGAATGAAGGCATTGCTTCTCTTATCAGATATCAAGGAGATTAAGAGCTATCTACCATTGATGAGATCTGGCCAATCACCAATTGGTAACCTCTTTTCAGTATTAAACCATTCCAGAAACCCCAACAGAAGAATACACCAGTTTGATCCCTAGAGATGAGCAAGGTCTTCCCTCAAAGAGATTCCTTTGGGCCCAGCTAACGCATAAACACTCTGATGCTGGATCTAAGTAGATAAGCATGATATCTCCAGTATAATCTCTAAATAAACTAGGGGTGCAACTTGGGCGGGATCAGGTTGGGATTTTGTCAAAATTTGAATGGGTCCTGAAGGAACTGGGTTGTGTGTATGAATGAAAGGGCTAATGCCCAGATAAGTTCAATTTCCTTTCTCTCTACTTTCTCCTCTTTGAACTAGATAAACAAGATAGAGAATGATCAAATCTGAAGTTGATTACGATCAGTAGTGAACTGTTAGCTTCTTTTGCTGTTTGTTCTTTCTTCTTCTATTTTCTAGTCAGTTTTCATTTAATTTTTGTTAGTTCCCTTGGTTCCTTTGATCTTCCCCTAGTTTTGATCTCCCTATTCTAAATCTTCCTACTCTTGGGGTTCCTGTTATGAAATCTGGTTTTTACCATGAATAGTAAGTCATAATTTTACTATAGATAGTAATAATGGGAATTACTATAAATAATATGTTCATAAATAGTATAAATCTTCCTCCTCTAGGAATGCGATTAGATGGGTTTCCAACCATGATTGGGGGTTGGGGCCCTTGGAGATTTGCTCATCTGCTGAATGAGATCCAGGAGATGTCTACATACCTCTCTTTGCTTTTTGTTTTGTTTTTTTTGTTTTTTTTTTTGTTTTATGCTTTCTGCAGACCTCTCTCATTTTAGATGGATTGCAAAGAAGCTAAACTCTTTAGCCGATAGATAAGCATCAACATTATATGCAAAATATGTAGTAATATCAGCATTCTAAGTGTACATAATGATGAAATTTATAATTGTACGTTAAAGTTATACCCGCTTGATGAACAATCTCATGATATATACAATGGTATCTCTTAACCTGCAGAAAAAAGAGAAGACAAAAAACTCAAGATAATTCCTCATAGAATACTGAATAGGCATCACTCTTACAAACCACTGTGGAAATAGATAATAAAGCAACATATCTCAAAGAATTATTAAAATTAGTCCTTCCCTTGTGTTGGAGAAATGTTGATATAACAAAGACATCTATGTAACCTAGATACTGCAGACACACAGAGGGATATGGCATTCATATGGAATTTATATTGAAAATTGAAGTCTCTTAGCAGAGTGTAAGATCCACAGCTATATAACATGCTGCTAGGGAAGTAAGGAGATCATCCAAGGAGGTAGGAGTAATCTTCCTATGGACACACAGATCAGTCACTTGTATGGCTGATAGGCTAGAAAGAGAAGGGGCAAAAGGGGAATAACTCTTTTGGGGGATTGCTTCTCATGGAGGAACCAAGGAAGTTCATAATATTTGAGACTAAAGCATATTGGGCTGGTTTAAACACTGCTAGACCATACTTCAGGATACCAGGCATATTCTAAGTAACCTATTCTTTTTCATTGAGCAATAAAGTTAACAGTTACCAATAAAAAATCTGCCAGATATGACATGAATGTAAAAACCAACCCAGATCCGGAACCGCTTTGGCCACTGGTTTCCAGGTCAATAGTTCGACCATCCAGTTCAAACGGACGGCCCGTTCCAACAAAAAAATAAAAATTAAAACAAAAAATGGCCAAAAACCATTGAACGGGTCAACAGTTCGACCGCCCGGGTCAACGGATCATTGACCAATTCAACGGTTTTTGGCCAGGGACCAGGTTTGGGGTAAAACAGAACTGGTTGCCTGGACGGTTCCCGGGCCAAACGGTCCAACCATCTGGGTCAATGGCGGTTTGAAAACGTTGGTAAAAACCTTTTTTTTTGTATCTGAGTAGGCTATGTTTGGTTGCAATTCTGCTCCAAGGAATTACTGTTTGAAGAATGAGTTCCAAGCCAAATATTTTTTTTTTTTAAGCTCAGTTTTTTAGCTTCAAAGAATTAACTCTTAGAATGACTTTTGAGCCCAGAAAGAGACTTTTTTTATCAATAATGCCCAGAAAAAGAATTAGTTCCAAAATTTTTCATAAAATTCAAATTTAATAGTGATTCTTAGAATCACAAAATTCATCAGAACCAATTCTGTAAATGAAAGCCAAATGTACAGCTATATAGTCTTCATGCAGTAAACATTAACTACCTGTAACTTCTGGCACAGAGATATCCAAAACTGATGTACTGGATTCCAGGAAGGACTCCTTTATGGGACTTATTTTGATGAGGCCTAATAGAATATCTGAGGGCTATTCTACTAATCTAATCCAATTCCTTGACTTTCAGCCTCATAAAAGTAATTTAAAATTCATTATAAGTTCAGATCTGGGAAGTTCCCTCTACTCTTTTCTTAGCCATTGTGAGTTGAGTCTTAATCAAAGATACCAATCTACTGGTTCAACAGTCAAGTGACACTTACGAGCTACTATCATCATTTGTTTGTAAAACATATTCAGTCCCACCAGAACCAAGTATTGAAAATGCAGTGGCATGTTCAACAGGAATTGTAACCTGCAAAAAATATATACATGTGGGTTACATATTGTGTATGGCACTCCATTATTTATAGATAAATTCTATCTCTACCTAGAAAAACTAGATAAATTAAAAAATCCCATTAGTAAACAACTTATAGCCCATCTTCCTCAAACAAGAAGTCAATGCTCAATAGTTTCTAGTGATCTAGACTCTCCACACATTACAAAGTCTCAAAACATCCTACTGAAACTTCTCCAGATGTTGAAGCGATTACCTTTTTATCTAGAAAAAGTACATCATATAACAAGCTGGGGGCACAGATGAGATGAAAGATCATTTGATGCAACACTAAAGAATGTGACAACTTTCATGACCCCATTGGCATATTATTCAAATCATCAAAACAGACTAGTTACAGTTCTTGCCCTGTGCATAATGACATCTAGGAAATAAAAGATACACAAGGAACTCTTCTTTACTTGCTAATATAAAGAAACAAGTTATAAGAAAGAAAAATATGAGGTAAGATCTCCATTACGAACAACCGTCATGTTGTCTTTAACAAGTCAGTCCACCTTTTCTTTGTCATTCCTGCAGGTATGGAAATGCGAAACTCCATCTAACCATATTATCCATAAAATACCTATGTAGGGTGCGAGACAATGAGCAAGGAACTGAGAATTTGCACCTAGCCCACAGTAAAACATTTGATATAACCCACTTAGAAAGAAAAACAACTTCAAATATTCTTTTGGACTGGTCCACCATTTTGAAAGAGTTCAAGAATATAGATCAGTTGTCTTGGGATGCCCTGATACCAATATTGTAGAAATGGGATAACATCCTATGAAAACCATTTGTTTGTACGTTTTGTATTAACAATAACTTACAACCCAGACTTTACTGGCTCAGCTCCAAACACATCAAGGTTAGCTATTGCATTGATAAAAAAGACGGAGATTCTTTGGTGTCTACAGTTCAAAATCTTAATCTTACATAGGGAGATCAATGAATGTGTGCAACTTCAGTATCCATTTACAATATGTTAAAGCATATGGAAGCAAAGAAAACACAATTTCTGAAGGAAAGCAATATCGAGATTTTTGTCTGTTGGAGAGGTGGAACGCAATCTATTTTTTGGGCTTTAGTTGTACCAAGTTTTGTGTGTGTGTGTGTGTGCAAAATATCAAATCTCATCACAGCAGAAAAGTGGGGATTTAAAAAAGTCTGAAATGGTTATCAATATCAACAAAAAGGTCTATCATGAACTTCACAGATTCTCGGCATATACAAGCTCCTATGGCCGTGAAAATGCTGGTCGTATGCTCTAAAACCAATAGTGTGACATTGTAGATGGGCATTTTTGTACTATTTACATTTATTAATAGAAGGGCAGTTTTGTCAATCATGTTTACTAATGTTACAGTAGAAATCACTGATTGTAGATTTAGTGGAATTTCTTGTGAAAGGAAAAGGGGAGGAAGATAAAGATTTCAGTAGTAGAGAAGAAAAGAGTAGGAAGTCAACCAGGATTCTTGAATTAACCCTAGCCGCCAACCCTTCATTATATTTATACTTAAAGGATGAGATATTACAAGGATGCCCTTAGTAGGGCGGCTACTAATGTAGCTGAACAGTCACAACTTAAAAACATAAACTAATGGGCCTAAAGCCCAATAACTTCCTAACTAAATAGCTTAAAATAAGTATAAAAAACAACTAGGCCCAACTCAACACTCCCCCTCAAGTTGGGAGTAAATGTCACACATTCCCAACTTGCGTAGATCATGCTTCAGTTTGTTCTTTGCAACACCTTTTGTGAGTGTAATCATTCATGGAGAGTGGGAGACGAGAGAGAGAGAAAGAGAATGAAATGGAGATACGATTGAGAGAAAAAGAAAAACCATCTCTGCCTGCCGCCAGTTCACTATTTATATTAACTTAATAAAAAAGAATAGAAATTACAAGTATGCCCCTGACGGCACACCCTAGAAACAAACTAATAAGGAAAAAAGGAAAAATAACTAACTGACAGTATCTTAAGAGGACAACCTACTAACAACAACTATAAAGTAACAATTAAATAAGCCTTACAACACTCCCCCTTAAGTTGGGCTGAATATATCTATCATGCCCAGTTTGCTTCTCTTGATAGTATAGCCGGCCAGAAATAAGAGGAAGAGAAGAGAAGAGAGGAGAGAAGAAAGAAGGATTTTGCAATATAACAGTGCTGGCGGCGCTAACCTTTATTTTAATATATATAGGGCGGTAGAAATAACAAGGGAAAAGACCATTGTGCCCCTGAGTACAATAACAGACATAATAGAAAGAAAAACGAAATAAAAAACACTTTAATTAGCCAAACAGACCCTAACGTCAGCAACTAAATTATTTTAACAACTTCCACAGTGATCTCACAGAGTTCTTTGTTTCGTGTGGGTCTATCCATCATAGCTCTTGTGCCAAAACTCCTCAACAAAATGGTGTTGCAGAAAGAATAAAACCGCCATCTACTTGAAGTGGCTCGTGGGTTACTCATCCATATGAGTATTCCAAAACGTTTTTGGTTGGATGCTGTGTTATATGCTACCTATCTCATCAACCGTATGCCATCTCGGGTGTTAGGGTACAAGGCCCCTCATCAGCTCCTATTCCCCAAAGTTCCCCTCTTTTCTATTCCCATTTGTGTATTTGGTTGCCGTTGTTTTGTTCAAAACTTGTCTCCTACCCATGGTAAACTTGACCCTCGTGCTCTTCCTTGTGTTTTCTTGGGATATCCTTCTTCTCAAAAGGGTTACCGTTGTTTTGATCCCGTCTCTCGAAAATACTAGGTTTTTATGGATGTGCCTTTTTTTTAGGGTGATTCCTTCTTCCCGATTTCTCCTCAGGGGGATAATAGGGTGGAGGAGAAATAATTTCAAGTACTACCTCCTCTACCTGACCCTCCTCCATTTCGTGTCTTTCTCCATCGCTGCAAGGACCATCCGGGTTCAAAAGCTGTTGAGCAACTTGAAACTATACGACCAACATCATTAGATTCACCAGGGATAGATCACATTCCACTAGGTACTATTATTCCCATTGACATTCCTGATCCTATTGCTATTGATTCTTCCTCTACCAATGACCTTGACATCCCTATTGCACAAAGGAAGGGAGTTAGGTCTTGTACCACCAAACATCCTATCTCCCACTTTGTCTTATATGAAAACATCTCATCCTCCTTTCGTGCTTTTCTCTCCTCCATTGATAGTATTCCTATCCCCAAAAATGTGACAGAAGCTCTTTCAGTACCTGAATGGACAGATGCAATGAAAGAAGAGATGGATGCCTTACATAAAAATGGTACATTGGAATTACTGGATCTCCCTGTGGGAAAGGAACCGGTAGGGTGTAAGTGGGTTTTTACAGTAAAGCACAAGGCTGATGGTACAGTAGAAAAGTACAAAGCTCGGTTGGTGGTGAACCTTGATTGCTAAGATGAATTCTATCAGAGTTCTCTTTTCTCTTGCTACTAACCTTGATTGGGATCTCCACTAGTTAGATATTAAAAATGCCTTCTTGAATGGTGATCTTGAAGAAGTGTACATGGTGCAACCTCCTGGCTTCTATGCGCAAGATCAAAAAGAAAAGGTGTGCAGGTTACAGAAGTCCTTGTACGGACTAAAACAGTCACCGAGATCCTGGTTCAACAAGTTTCACCTAAGTTGTACAGCAAATTGGTTATAAACAGTTTCAGACTAATCATACACTATTTGTGAAAAAGGGAGAAGGGAAAATTACAGCCTTGATAGTGTATGTTGATGACATAGTGATCATAGGTGACAAGAAGGTGGAAATTCAGAGACTAAAGGAGTTCCTAGCCACTCAATTTGAGGTGAAGGATCTAGGTCCCTTGAAGTATTTTCTTGGAATTGAAGTGGCGCGTTCGAAAAAGGAGATCTTCATTTCTCAAAGAAAATACACCCTAGATTTATTACAGGATATAGGAAAGCTTGGAGTCAAGCCTGTTGACTCCCCCATTGATCCAAACCAAAGATTAGGTGATTGTCAAGGTGAGACTATCACCGATGTGAAACAATTCTAGAGACTTGTGGGTAGACTATTACATTTGTCTATGACACGACCAAGCATTGCTTATGTTGTGGGTATCCTTAGTCAATTCATGCATGCTCCTAAGACTACTCACTTAGAGGCAGCCGATAGAATTCTTAGGTATCTGAAGAAGTTGCCAGGGGCTGGTTTACTTTTCCAAAAGAATGGTCACTTGAAGGTTGAGGTGTATACAGATGCTGATTGGACCGAATCAGTTGATGACAAAAAATCTACTAGTGGGTATTGCACCTTTGTGGGAGGAAACCTAGTCACGTGGAGAAGCAAGAAACAAAATGTTGTGGCAAGGTCTAGTGCTGAAGCTGAATATAGAGCAATGTCCCATGGAGTGGCTGAAGTTATGTGGATAAAGAACTTGTTAAATGAGTTGGGATTTCCTATTGATGGTCCCATATCCTTGTATTGTGATAACAAAGCTGCTATCAACATTGCTGCCAACCCAGTGCTCCATGGTAGAACTAAACATATTGAGGTTGACAAGCACTTTATTAGGGAGAAAATTATAAATGGGGAAGTGTGCACTCCATATGTCAGTTCCACATATCAACTTGCAGACATCTTTACCAAGGGATTATATCATCCGCGGCACAATGATTTATGTGACAAATTGGGCATGATTGATATCTATGTCCCAACTTGAGGGGGAGTGTTGGAATCAGTTAGCCACTTCTCTGAGGCGTTTTATTTATGTTTTTTTTGTTCTTTAGTGCCGCAGGGGCATTCTTGTAATTTCCTTTTCATTTTATTATTAGTTGGGTCACCCTAATATAAAAGATAAAGCTGGAGCTGCCAGCTACAAGTTTGAATCCATTTTCTTTGTCTCTCTTCTCTCTTCCTTTTCTCTCTTTCTCCTCTCCTCTTCTCCTTCTTTGATATCTCTCGCTTGTAAACAAATATATTTCATTTAACTATAGAAAAGAAACACAAAAAGGTACAAAACAATTAAAAAATTACCAAAGAATTGAAGACACCCAATACAACATTCCTAACTCTAGCTCTAGTCACCAAGCCATGAATGTCCCCTAATGTCATGGGCCATCAGAATAGTCTGCTATCCATCCATTAATTACCTAGGAATCTCCCTCCATCTTGACCCTATCATCAAGGTTCAAAGTATCGATACACCCGATATGCACAAACCTGCATATCAAGTGTTTCAACTGATCATAGCTTTTTTTTAGTTCTTTCCCAAAATTGGTTAGGGATCGGTCTTATGCCTGCCTAGCCCCTGAAACTAGTCGAAAACCCCAAAAGACCCTTATTTAGAGTATATCGACATATACTATCAGGCCAATACATTGTGAAATTTTGATCCTTTCCTATCATATCTCAACAAGAAAGTCAATCTAAGACTCAGTACTAATGTCATAATCTCCATTTTGACAGATCTGTTGCCACCAATTGGGCCAAAGAATAGTACCAATATCTCCCCTGTAAGTCCCATGAAAGTCCACCTATGCCTGAATCACTGACATGCCCCGAACTGGTATCTTGTATGCCCAATGTACCACTAGAATAGTAACAACATCACTGCTAACAGTGTCACATTGCCCCAATGGAGTTCAGCAATCTCGGTTGGGAGAACTTATTTAAGGGTTAAAGGAGATTCATTTTGTGATTAATAGAGATGCTTGTAAGGCAATTCTTTGCTTTCTGGAGAGACATTGTCCACTTGTGTACATCTTAAAGACATTAGACATTCATATTTCTACAATGCAATTTATAGCTATTCATTGAAAAAGAAAGGTTAACAAGATAAAGAGAAAGTTCTTTTGCAGCAGATTATTTGGATATCCTCAAAAACTCTATACAGTAAATCTTAAATTTCCATACTTAAAACAAATAAAAAAAAAAATAGTAGAGAACCATACAAGTGTGCTTTGTAGAAACTTCTCTGTGAAAACACCGCTCCGATTTCCTTTGCACTTGATACTAAACCCTTCCTTCTTAAGAGCCAAAATAGCAGGCTCCCAGACATCATGATGTTCAAACTATGAAAAAAAACATTATAACATTATAACATTAGTCATTTATCAAAAAAAAAAAAACATTATAACGTTAGTCCATTAAATTCCCCACTAGCAATGGCCTTTTTTTGAGGGGGGTGGGGGGAGGGATTGCATTTCCATTAACAAAAGAAGAAACAAAAATAGAAAAGGAAAAGTCAAAGGAAGAACTTAAGGTGCTTTCTACAGCAATCATACCAATAAAATAACTTCATAAGAAGCATGCCCACTATAAAGGGTCTTTTCTACCTGATTTTTCATCTCAGAATCTGCAAATAAAAGGGAAAAAAATTAAAAACTCAATATATATATATATATAAGTAGGAATCTGCTAAATTAAAAAATATGAAAGAAAGTAGGTTCTTGAAGAGAGAAGGAGAAGAAGAGAAGTTGAAAAGAAGAGAGAGCAAAAAATCTGGCCGCCCCCTTCACTTATTATTTATACTAAAATAATAGAACAGTACAAAGACAACTATGCCCTTATAGGGCAGCAAAACATAAAACAACATATATAACACTCAAATACATAATAAAATTTGGACTCACAAAACTACTGTGGTCCCCACCTCCTATCTAACAACTAACATAAAACATCTACTCAGAAAAACAACATAAAACTAATTAATCTTCA